TACAGAGAAAGGGAGAGAGATCTGCTAGATCTCTAGCCCACTCCCACTAGGAGTCAGGAGCTCATTTGCATCTCACACATGGGTGCAGGAGCCCAAGCACCTGGGCTATATTCCGCTGCTTTTCCCAGACCATCAGCAGGGAACTGGATCAGAAGCGGAGCAGCCGGGACCCGAACCAACACCCCTGTGGGATGCTGGTATCCCAGGCAGCACTGTGCCCGCTAAGCCACCACGCCAGCCCCCGTTCTTAACATCCTGTACAGTCGTTCAACCTATCGCCTCTTCCATCGCACGCACCTCCCCGTCCTGGTTCCAGGTCTTTGTGTGTCCAGCCCAGAGCCTTGCACGTGGTAGGGAGATAATAAGGCTTTGTTTTGGCTGCCCCTGCGTGGTTCACTGGAACTTACTGACAGGCCCCGCCCTGTGGCGTCTGCAGTCACCGATTTTGCTGCCATCTCTGGTGATCACCATGTATGAAGTGGGCGGTTCCTTCTGCCACCGAGTTCCTCCAGCAGAGCACAGAAAGGCACGCTCAGAGCTAGCAGCTGCGTCTCTCACCATGTTGAGACCAGAATCTCTCCCTGGGAAATGCAATCAGCACCAGCCAGGATAATTTATATTTTCTAATCATTTCCTGCCATTCTCCTGCTTGCCTGGGAGTGGGGAGGTCATCGGAGCTGTGTTAGTGCCCGGTGCGGCGTTGCCCCCCAGATGAGACACCCCATTCCCGGAGGGCAGAGGCTTCTCTCGAGGAAATAGCAGTCTGCTGAGCTTTCATTCTGAAATCTAAAAAGCTGAGCTTAAAACTGTGGCCGAGCCTTCTCCGTTCCCTTGAGGGAGACGAGCGGAGCTTGGCGCAGCCGGGAAGGCTGTCGGGTCTCAACGCAGCAGCTCTGCTTCTCCAGCCCCTGACGTTGCTGCTTCTGCTTCCGCCGCGCTGCTCCCTGCGTTGGGCCCCTCCGTCCTCTCCAGGCACCCCCAGAGGAGGCAGGGGAGCGTGGGGGTCGGGAGCCCAAGCCATGGACACACAGGCCCAGGCCGGAGCCACCTGCCACTCGCACTGTGAACATGGCTGGAGCCGCAGGGCAAGCAGGTGGCCAGCGGGATCCGTGTCACAGGCCGAGCCCAGGCCTGGATCCTGGCAAAGCACCGGGAAGGGTGCTCTTGCCACCTGCAACAGCCCCTCACCTTCTGCCCAGAACGCGGCCTCGGCTCTCCCTGGCGGCTGCACCGGGGTCCTGTCCCCCTCCCCCTACTCAACCAAGGAGCCAAGAGCCCCACATTAAAAGCCTGCTGGGTTCCAGTTCCGAGCTTTGAGCGTCTTCCAAGTCTTAACTTTACAGCTAAATATCTATGACAGTCAACTTAAAACAAATTACATTCCCTTATCTAGCTCGGGGCCCTCGAGGGCTGTGAGAACATCAAAATTTTACATCTCGGAAACCCTGAATACTTGAATTGTGTATCCACGGTTGTTTCCAGCAGTCTTTAGAGCTAAATGATTAATTAGACCCAGGACGATCCCAAGCAATTATTTAATTACGCTGTCCTATAGGCTGCCAGCTGTTCGGAGCAAAGAAAAGGCCTTCACCCCAGTTTCTCAACATCTGGCCTTTGGATGACTCAGAAGATAAAAGGAGATATGAGAACATTTTATGACTTAAGTAACAATTTCTAGAAAGTTTCCACGGCGTAGCAAAACTTTTTCAGTGGTTTGCTTCTCATGATTAGAATGTGGTGACATATTTTAGTCTCAGGCTTAGGCTTGTTTAAGTCAGACTTGCAAAATGCAGCGTGCCGTGTTCTTTTTAGGGTAGGAAAGCCTGTTTTTTAGCAAGTCTGCATTTCCAATTGCTGCCACTTTCCCCCTTGCCTGTTTTTTAAAGTTCTCTGTCTTAATTTAGGCTTTTTTTTAAAAAAAAAAAAAAGGTTAATTGATCGATTTGAAAGGCAGAGCAACTGGGGGAGGGGGGGGTAGGAGGAAGAATCTTCCATCCGCTCGTTCAGCTCCTCCCCACCCCCTGGGTTGCTCACCACCCAGGTCTGGGCCAGGATGAAGCCAGGAGCCCGGTCTCTCACACACATGGCGGGGCCCAAGCACTCGGCCACTCCATGAGCTCCGCTGGTGCAGGGCAGGAAGCAGAGCTGATGGGACACCAGCCTGCTCTCCAGCGAGACGCTGCTGTCGTGTGTCGCCTTAACTTGCTGCGTCGCAGTCCTGGCTCCTCAAGTCAGGCTCCTAAAAAGCAACTTTGATGAACACAAAGTGCCCACTACCCATCCTACACTTGGAAATGTCGGCTTTATTGCATAAAGGGTGGTCGAGGAAAGAGACACGCAGTTGCGGCCAGCGTCGTGCCAGAGGGACCTGGAGGTTTCTTTCGGATGCTGGTTTGGGGAAGGAAACAGCTTCACATGAAGACTTTGCATCAATGCGGGGGATTTAAAAATGCAACGGATCTTCACAACATTCGTGGACACTGCACGGTGAAACAATTCTGCCTGGATTTCAAGATGTTTCGGCACCAAAATCAGCCTATTTTTAAATTCCACAAGCTTTTTGAAGCGCTCTCACAGCCAAAGCCAGCGGGTCCACAGCACGCTGGACTGGCGCCTTCCTGCACAGTCGGGTGCTAGGACCCCGGGTGGCGGACAAGCACCGCTCAGACGTTTCCTGATCACCCAGGCGTCTTGGTGCTGTCTTCTCAGGGTACAAGCCCCAGACATGATCTTTCTGCTTCTCTCGCTGCCCGTTACAACTCATGAAACGGGAGTGGCGGAGTGGACTGTGGGTAATGAGCTGATGAGGCCTGTTCACAACAGTCACTGGCTCATCCGACCCTCTTCCCTCCCCGCCATTGAAATGCTGTCACTCTCCTGAAACGTAAAGATGTTAAACAGTCGCATGCCCAGAGGCCATCACTAAGTGTAGGGTGAGTGAATGGCTGCACGCGGAGAGAGCCATGGTAGATGACACAGAAACATCTTCCAAGTTCAGGTCGTTGGCCAGGGCAAGCGAGTTCATAGCTGTTGGTGAAGAACTGAGATCTCTAACCCGCAGGGTGCTTGCTGCACCATACTTGTTTTTTTTTGTTTGTTTGTTTGTTTTTTCTTTTGACAGGCAGAGTGGACAGTGAGAGAGAGAGACAGAGATAAAGGTTTTCCTTTTTGCCGTTGGTTCACCCTCCAATGGCTGCCGCGGCTGACGCGCTGTGCTGATCCGAAGCCAGGAGCCAGGTGCTTCTCCTGGTCTCCCATGGGGTGCAGGGCCCAAGCACTTGGGCCATCCTCCACTGCACTCCCTGGCCACAGCAGAGAGCTGGCCTGGAAGAGGGGCAACCGGGACAGAATCCGGCGCCCCGACTGGGACTAGAACCCCGTGTGCCGGTGCCGCTAGGCGGAGGATTAGCCTAGTGAGCCGCGGCGCCGGCGCTGCACTATACTTGTAAGGTAACTTAGACCTAGTGCTCTAAACCTGGAGTCCCTCTGTCCCGAATCTGCTAAAATAATGTGAGTTATTCTAGGGAGAACCTGAGGTTTGTGTCTCAGAAAAGGCTGAGTCTGCCAGCAGTGTCTAACGATCAGGTGGACTTGGCGTGAGAATTGTGTGCATATCTGAAGTGGAGAGATTTTGATCACCTAGCAAGCAGTGTAAGGTGGTGGACAGGTGGGGACCCGTGGAGCAGACGGTTCCCCAAAGTGCGATTCCTCCAAAGGGAGTCTTTCAGTGTCAGGAAGCACCTTCTAAGAGAAAGGGTTTTACCGTCCCACTCAGCGATAGAGGAATGAAAATCAACATGCAGGCCAGTGACCCCTGTCACGTGGAAGAAGTGGACACCCCCAGCGGTGCTGCTCGTCCCTGGGAAGTGAGACACGGCCTTGGCTCCGAGCCCCAGGCAGGCAGTCAGGTTCGTGGGCCGCAGCTAACGGCCACATTTGCCTCTGCAAGTTACGTTTGTCCACTGGTTAAAAGAATCGATACTTTTACTCCCAGACTAAAAGTTGGCTCCGGGGACTCTCAGTCATTTTTCCCTGGTGTGTATTTATCTCAGGAATGCTGTGTCCATGTCAGGGAGCCACAGGTGCCAGCATCCCCTGGGAGGTGTTCACACAGGGGAGTACTCGCTGCCTGCTGTCCTCTGGAGTAAGATGTTAACCAAACCTGATCCCCATGGGTGTCCTTACCACTCTGAGGCGCGTCTTCAGGCCTCCCTGGTCTAACGTTCTAACAGGGCAGCGTGGCCACCTGGAGCAGGAGCTGCCACTCTCCCCAGGTGAGCGGGCCGAGGCCCAAAGAGATGAAAGAACTTAGTCAAGGTCATGCGGCTACCATTAGCAAAGCGGGAACGTGCACCTGAAGCTGCCGTCCTGTAGGGCCCCCACTTGTCCTTGGGCTGGGACATCTCCAGGTGGCCATCGCTGGTTCTACGGGGAGCTGCCCACTCAAGGGCACTAGCTCAGCCTGCAGGGAGCAGTTCTAAAGCTTTGAGAGGTTCTCCTGGTTCCCTCTTTTCCCTGATTTCCACATCTCCCCCCAAGTTAAATAAGCAAGACACAAAAGAATTAAAATTAATACTCATCCTTTTGTCCATCTGCTCAAAAATATAGAAAATAGGACTGGTCAGTCTACACACTCTAGATGTAGAAATGTCCTAAGACTTCTGGATTATTTCTGCTAATGAATGCAGATATAGTCACGGCAGACGAAGCATTCTTGTTTGTTCCTCCTGGCAGTGCGTCTTTGAGATACAAAAAGAAAAAAACAAACAACATAAAGACACAATGCAGTCTATTCTTTGGCACAAAATATTTCAAACAAAAAGAAAACCTCAGACTTGCTTTTCAAAAGATGTGAACAATGAATCAGTGTAACCATCTGATGAGACGCAGAACCTGAACGTGCCTTGGTGTTTCTCCTTCCATTCCCCCCCTCTCCTTGAGCCATAAACAAGAAGCTGTCCTTCAAAGGTTTCTACTCTTTCTCGCTTCTTTTTCAATAGGGGACTTATCATGTTTGACAATAAAACCTACATCCTGGAACCGGTGACGAATTCCACGCGTGGCTACAAGCTAACCCCAGCTCAGAGCCTGCAGAGCGTGGGAGGAACCTGTGGGTCGCATCAGAACTCGTCACACCTCGCTGCCCAGGGCTTGTTCCAGACGCCAGCAAGAAGGGTAGGAGGGAAACCCCCTTCCGTGTTTTCTGGGGGGCCTGGGGGCCTGAGTGGTGGACCCCTGATGCCACACACCTGGAGATCTTGTGTCATTTGCGTGCTGTGCCTGGGGATGAAACCCCTCTGATCAGGAAGGGGTGACACCCGGGCCAGCGAAGCCCCCTCACCGGCACCCTCAGGCTCAGAGGAGGACCGCGTCCTTTGTTCTGTCTTCAATGAGAACTTCCTAGGGGTCTCGCCAGAGGGTGGGCACCCCGCCACGCACGGGAGGGGAAGACGCACCCTGACCTCCCTGGTGGAGAAAGCCCATCCCGAGGGCTCTCCACCAGACAGTCGGCTCTGCCGTCCGGCTCCCGGCGTGAGCTGAGCTGCAGGACACCCAGTGTTTGCCACCTGCTTGTGCAGGGCTGGGTGGCAGCCTTGGGCACCAAAGTGAGGAGTGAGCCTTGCTTACCCCAGGCCACACTGCAGACACCCGTCCATGTCCTCTTGGGCTGACCACGCCATCCGTCTTCTCCATGTCCCCTCGGGCTGACCACTCCGTCTTCTCCATGTCCCCTCGGGCTGACCACTCCGTCTTCTCCATGTCCCCTCGGGCTGACCGCACCGTCTGTCTTCTCCCATGACCCCTCGGGCTGACTGCGCCGTCCGTCTTCTCCCGTGACCCATCTCGCAGCAGTAGTGCAGGTGTGGCTGCCTGGGGAGCCCTGGCTGCACACAGATTCCCTCCCTGCAGCACCACCCCCCCACCCAGCAGTGGTGAGACCCAGGAGCTGGACCAGCCGTGGTCCTCCCCGTGGTCGGAGGCCTTGAGATAGATGGGCACTGCCAGACAGGAAGTCATCAGATGTCTCCTGATTTATTTCCTCTCTTGATTTCCCATTCCTCTGTTGGCAAGGAAAAGCAAAGATGGGCTGTCACGCGTGCTCGCCTGGACCGTCTGCGGCGTGCTCTTCAGGGCTCCTCCGGGTTGTCTTTCTCAGCTTTCTAAGTAGACCACTGCTGGACATTCAGCTGGTCATGGATTTTATTCTTGGTTCACTTGAAATCATCTTCCTGGGCCAGCATGGTGGCGCAGCAGGTGAAGCAGCCCACGGGACGCTGGCATTGCATGTGGGTTAAGTCCCGGCTGCTCCGCTTTCAATCCAGCGCCTGCTAATGCACCTGGGAGAGCAGCAGAGGATGGCCCACGTGCTTGGGCCCCTGCACCTTTGTGGGAGACCTGTATGAAGCTTCTGGCTCCTGGCTTCAGTCTAGCCCATCCCTGGCCACTGTAGCGCCTTGGGGAAAGAACCAAAGGATGAAGATTCTCCCTCCCTCCTCCCTCCCTCTCTCTCTCTCTCTCTTCCCTTTTCTCTCTCTTTGTAATTCTACCTTTCAAATAAAAAAAGAGTCTTTAAAAATAAATAAATAGGCCGGCGCCGCAGCTCACCAGGCTAATCCTCTGCCTTGCGGTGCCGGCACACCGGGTTCTAGTCCCGGTCAGGGTGCCGATTCTGTCCCAGTTGCCCCTCTTCCAGGCCAGCTCTCTGCTGTGGCCAGGGAGTGCAGTGGAGGATGGCCCAAGTGCTTGGGCCCTGCACCCCATGGGAGACCAGGAGAAGCACCTGGCTCCTGGCTTCAGATCAGTGTGCTGTGCCGGCCACAGCAGCCATTGTGGGGTGAACCAACGGCAAAGGAAGACCTTTCTCTCTCTCTCTCTCTCTCTCACTGTCCACTCTGCCTGTCAAAATAAATAAATAAATAAATAATAAATAATAATTTTCCTAAATTCAAATAACAAGGGTTATCCTAAAAAATGACTTCCCATTCTTAAAGTGTACTTCATCATCCCCTAAACTGCTGCTCTCTTTTTTTTTTTTTTTTTTTAAAGATTGATTGATTTCATAGAAAGGAGAGTTAGAGAGAGAGAGAGAGAGATCTTCCATCTACTAGTTCACTCCCCGGATGGCTGCAATGGTCAGGGGCTGGACCAGGTTAAAGTCAGGAACCTAGAACTACATCGAGGTCTCCCACAAGAGTGCAGGGGACCAAGCACCCAGGCCACCTTCCTCTGCGTTCCCAGGCACGTTAGCAGGGAGCTGGATCTGAAACAGCATCCGGGTCTCATGCTTGTGGAGGATGTGTAAGCCATGGCACCAGGACACGGGCCCTGCTGAGCCGCTCCTGACTGACCGGCCGAGGGCTCTTCCCTTCTGCTTGCACACTGGGTCCAGTGTGTGTGTTGGGGGAGGGGTGTGGGCTGCATTGTGCTTGCGTGGCCCTAGCTGCCCTGTTGGTTCAGATATTCCCAAGCCTCTCTTTGGCAAACACTGGCAACCTTTTTTCTTTTTCTGTCTCATCATGAGAGTAGGAAAAATTGTCCTGTAGGTACCGGGCTGACCTTGACATTGACACCGGTCGGGCAGGCTGATGCCTATCCCAATCCCGGGGCGCAGAAGTAGAAAAACACACACGTCTGTGGGCGCCACCAGCCCAGGAGGGTTTTCTCCCTGGGCCTCCAGCCCCGCGCCTCTGCAGTGACAGGTGGAAGAGCCAGTCAGGGTCACGGGGACTGTTAACTCCGCTCTGCAAAGACTTTTGCCCTGGGTGCCAGACCTCGATAAGACGTGATTAAGCTGTAACTTTTCCAGTCACAAACAAGCAGAACATTTGCATTTTGTTTGCCAGGCTCTCTGCGCTGTGCCCCTTGTCGGATGCAGGATACCCGCATCATGAGATTTATAACTTGACGGTTTAAATGATACTCGAATGTGTTTGCCATTTCATTTACAAGTAGGAACTTGATCTGTACGTGCCAAGCACATTTTAATTCTTTAAGCATATAGCTCTCTAGGGCTATGATTGTCACAGTAATTTCCAGTCATTTTTACTTGTAGAGAAATGCAGAGAGCCTGAATAACAATGTTGTTTTGTTAATAATGCATATTGACGTGTAAATGAAGCTTTAAATTGAAAAGGGAAGGCAGGATGCCATTCAGTTCCGTTCTGCACTTCTCTCTGGAAATAGCTGATTGTTTTATGGAAGAGAGAATGTCCTTGACTTAAAATGCATGTTTGTAATGAAAATGGCACCAAACATAATTTTCAAATAAGTGGAATACTTCAGAATTGGAGCTACACGGAAGATTGCTCTGGATAGCGCCATGATGGAAATGAGAGGCACACTTTGGAGGGAGACAGCACTCACCTGCCCTGCTTAGGCTGCTTTGATTTCATACCAAAAAAAAAAAAAAAAAAAAAATCAGGTTGCCGCAGCTAATCAATCTTGTTTATGCAGCGTGGTTCCTCCCTGCGTCGTTCTGCCCCCACCAAGTGTTAACTATTGCAGAGATGGGATTGAGGCTGCGATTTTCTGCAGATGTTTGCATTTTTCCTCACAGAGGGATCCGGAGTAAATCTCCTCCCAGGGCACACAGCCGCTATAATCTAGACCTGCGCCACCGTTTGTCATTTTCACAAGGCTCTGCATTAGGCTTTAGCGACAGCCCCAGTAGTTCCTGGAAGGGCACGGAGACCAGAGTGACCCAGTCCACCTTCCGCTGCGTGCAGCACTCAGACCCGTAGCTTCACCTGGCACAGCCGCCTCCCCCGTCCACCCGCCTGCTGTGCGCCCAAGAATGCAAACTAATTTTTAGCCTCAGCAAGCCATGAGGAAGGCAAGCGACAAATGCGCTTCCGGAGAAAATCACCTAACGCATCCCAAAGGCGATTGTGAATTACTTCTGAATTACCCTCTCTTCAGGGACTACGGGCCGCACCATTGTTCCTCCCTTGGTCCGGATAATTAGAAGGCAGGCAGGAAAGTGGCTGTCTCCCTGCAAGGAAACCCTTGCTTGGTCATCTGCGTCCACCCAGGACCGGGAGGCAGGAGCCTGGTGAACCCCGCTGTTGGCTGCTGTGTCTCCAGACAGCTCATGGCATGCGGGTCTCCACAAAGTTCTTGGGAAATACATATTGCGGAGAAAAATACAAAAACAAACGAGGCATGCATTTCCAAATCGGGTTAGAAAAATAAACTTTTAATTCCGTTTGCATCAACTTGTTGAGGCCCAGCTTTCTTGGCCAAGGAAGCCCCGCTGCAGGGGCGGAGTCAGCAGTAACAGTGGTCTCCGTTGGGGCGGGGTCAGCAGTAACAGTGGTCTCCGTTGGGGCGGGGTCAGCAGTAACAGTGGTCTGGTGGGCCCTGGGTGGTCTGGTGCATTTTCAGTAGCGCCCCTTTGTCCCTGGTAGTGCCCAGCCCATCAGATTCAGCCCCGTGTTCCAGCATTTTCCCATTGTGGTTGATTCCGCCAGGCTGGCTGTTAGCAGGTGTCAGGGGCCGTGTGTCATGCGGTGTGCTCCGTGCACGTCGTGCACATGCAAGTCCCTGATGCGTGGTGTGCACCACACTGCTGTGTGAACAGGGTGCAGCTTCCAGGTACTCACAGCGGGACCTGGGAGCCCACGCGTGGAGCTGGAGCTGACCGTGACTGCTGGGCTGGGCAGAGGACGAGCCGAGCTGACCATGACTGCCGGGCTGGGCAGAGGACGAGCCAGACTTCTGATGCTGGTCCTGCAGCTGCCGAGCCAGGGGCCCGGGGCCCTGGGTCCTGGTTCTTGTGGTTGGACGGGGCCTGGCTACGTCTCACCTGGCTTGAATGTGTTTGCCACACCCACTGTCACAGCATGGCCCTAGCGAAGCCCCCCACTGCTCTCCCAGGTTCCAGTCCCCTGGCAGCCAGGGAGAGGTTTAGAAATCTCACCTTCAAGTGCTTCCAGGGCTCTCAGGAGATGAGCTGCTCATTCCGCCTCTAGCTGAGGGTGCCCCAGGGCCCCGGCCCCGTCTTCAGCTCACCCATTCTTCCCCTGCTCCTCCCAGCATCAGGACTTCCACTGTTGCTGTTCCACCGGCTACAATGCTCTTCCCACCACGTGTTCCACACGTACCTGCTCAGCCTTCAGCTGACATAACCCCTTCACCCCTCCCCCAATCTTTGTTCCGAATCCCGTCTGTCCGTTTCACAGGTGGCTTTGCTTCTGCTACCGCATCATCAGCCTTCTCCTAACCCCCAGGTGGAAATGTGGGCCTCCCCAGGGCAGTAACCTTGGGTTTTCGGTCCATCCCCAACATCCAACACAGCACGAACCACAGGGTGCACAGAGCTGAGCCAGGGGGTGCACAGAGCACGAGCCAGGGGGTGCACAGAGCAGAAGCCACGGGGTGCACAGAGCAGAAGCCACGGGGCTCGCTCGCTGCAGACGCATGGCTGCCCTGTCAGGAAATCACTGTGAGGAGAATGTGTCAGGACCCGGGTCTCAGCTGGCCTGGCCCAGTGCGACAGCTGTGCTCCCCCACGCCAGGCCCCTCCCTGCAGGCTGGCTGGGCGGCGGCCCTGCGCTGGGACCTGGGCCGGGATGACTTTAAGAGGCCCAGGAAGCGGCCTCCTGGCGGCAGCACTCTGAGCACGCCTCGGCTTCCCCCTGGAAGCAGAACCGTTGGGCCGTTCTCAGCGGCTTCGGTTGCTGTCTGGGAACGGGCTCTTGTTCCATAAGCCCGAGAAAGGAAAATCCAGTCCAGCAGCCAGTTTCAAACATTGGTTTCCATATCACAAATTGAAAATAATCATCTGTCACAGCTGGACAGCCCGGCTAGGTGGAAGTCACGTGGGGGTAACCGAAGCCTTTGCCTGTGCGGGCCGCCGGCGGAGAGTAGACCCCCTGGCCGGGAGCCGGCCGCTCCCCTGTGCCGCCTTATTATTCTGTGGTTAGCTTCTCTCTGAACGTGCACTGCTCCGGATTCAGGGGAAGATTCCGAGTGCTCTGGAACCGGCAGAGACAGGAAGCTCGTGCCTGTGTGTGTGTGTTTGCATTATCTGGAGTTGTGTGTTTTCTAAATGAGGATCGGAGGCCAACTGGAAGGATCCTGGGTTGTTTATTTCAGGCATGCGCAGTCCGAGCAGCCAGAGACCTCTCTGTATTTTTCAATGGGAGGTTGCACTTAGTTTTCCATTTCTGGAGCTGTATTTGTTTTTCTGCATAATTAGCCAGATTTGTTCGTGGTGAATCTGCGATTCCTGAGCCAGAGAGAGAGAGGTGCACGTCTTTCGGCCTTGGGCAAGGAGACAGGGCCAGGTCTCCACATCTGGGGGCGACTGGTATCCTGTATACCCGTGGGTCCAGGGTTAGGACCACGAAGCATCCTGACAGCGGAGCTTACAGAGTTCTGTTTCCCCTCGCAACGCCGTGGACGTGGGAGCAAGTGCGCCTTTCGGGGAACCTCGGCCCCCCGCCCCCAGGAGGCTCCAGGTTTCCTCTGGGACGCCTCAGTTCATGACTCAGGGCAGTCGGGCGGTGGACTGGTCGCCGGCCCGAAGACAAACACTGTTCTGTAAAAATCCGTTTGGAGGATCCCGGCCTGGCGGGGGTTGGTTTGGTAAAAGATGTTTCCCCCAGGATTCTGTGCCTGGAAACCTGATTCAGCGCCTGCGTCCGTCCTCGCGGCTTTTGTCCCAGAGAGAGCCTGGGAGACGCACGCACGCCAAGTTGCAAAGTCAAGCGTGTGTCAGCCGCTCGCTCTGAAAGCGAGGACCGAATCCAGGGACTCCTCCCTGTCCCGCCGCCCTGCACTGCAGACAGGAGCTTTGCCGCTTGTCTTTCATGGTTGCTTCCGGGGCCCACCCCCCATGGTGGCTTTATTTCTCCTTACAGTGCCTCTGGGACTCCCCCGGGTGTTCTCGGGACACGTGGACGCCTTTGGAGGCCGCTGGACGGAATGGCACCCAGTTCCTGGGCTGCGTGTCTGTCTGGGTGGCCAGCATCTTCTCTCCAGCCTGTTTCCTTCTCAGTCACTTCCCCCTCGCCGACGCCCCATTCTCCGGAGGCAGGGGCAGAGCCGGGCTATTCTCCTGCACTGTTCCTTCTGCCTCTTCCTCTTCTTCCTCTGAACACCCTTTCCCAGCCACTCCGTTCATCACCGGGCTGGGATCCTCCCTGCAGCCCGCAGCCCCCAATCGGCTGCCAGAAGCGGGCTCCCCGGCGCGGGCTCCGGAGGTCCCCATTCCCAGTGTATTCCCGCACCCTCTCTCAAGTCACTAAACGGTACGGTTGGGGCGCCAGGGCCCCGGCCACACTGTGACACGCTGCGTTCCGTCTTTAATGATCTTCAGATGCGCCCCGCGCGAGCTCTCGTGGACCGTCGCCGGCTGGCCGTGCCCCAGAGAGAGCTCTGGGCTTGTTTGTTGATGGGTTCGTTTGTTTAATGAGGATCTTGACTTTTCCTCTTGCTGTAAGGGGTGGCTCAGCAGCAAAGCTAAGCTCCTGCAGGATTTCCCGCGGGCAATGGAAATGGGTCACTCGAGTGGAGGGGGCCTCACGAAGGAATTACTGGGGTCAGGGGCCAACTTCCAGATGGAAGGCAGGCCCAGCAGCCCCGGGCTGCCGGGGACGGACGCTCGGCTTCATGTGGCGGGATTGACACTTGGTGACAGGGCTCTGGGAGGCCCAGACAGGAGTTAACCTCGTGTTCACTTTCGACAGCATAAAAGAGAGACGCTCCGGACGACCAAGTACGTGGAGCTGGTCATCGTGGCAGACAACCGAGAGGTGAGAGCTTTGGAATTTCCCAGCAGAGTGGCTTTTTTAAAAAGCGGTGGTGGGAATGTTTAGCTTGCTTTAATGAGCCCTGGCTTCTACGTGCGCTTAAACGCGCTGGGAAGAACTCACGGAGAGAGTGGCTTTCTGATTTTATAAGACAGAAAATGTCAAAATGTTGTCTATTATTGTGAAAGGAAAGCAAATTCTTCAGAAGGAGAAAATAAAAAAAAAAAACAAAAGCCAGTGTTGCTGGGTAGCTTTGCTCTCCGAACAGGAGCTCACCTCCGGGAACTGCGGGCGTGGCTCTAGATTTTATGCCAGAATGTTTGGGGGAACGAACGTTCAGCTTTTTAAATGTTTACTACTTCTTAAACCAAAGTGAGTGAATGAAAAAGAAAAACTGTAGACACAAAAACAACCCTCCCCTCTGTGGTGGGGCCTGATTCCACGTTAGTTCTATTTTTTTCTTTCAAATAATTTGGAATTCTTTTTTAAAAGATTATCTTCCCTGTATGTAGTCAGTGCTCATTGACATATTGTGAATTAAGTAACATCCTTTTGTAGATCTGTTCAACACCCGTGAAGGCAATGGCTTGGTAATTTCTCCAAGACCTCCTCCCATTCTGGAAGTTGGGATCAGAGGAGACGATGGGGAATTCAGTAACACTATCCATTCTCCTCCGTGCTCTTTGACATGTTGCCACGGACTTGTGTTCCTTTGGCTATCTGATTCTTAAAAACAAGTATAAAGAAAATTTCTCCACAGTTAAAGTCAAGTTGATGATATGAGAAACGGCTTTGGACTTCCCTCTCGCCCGTTTTCTCTTTGCCAAAACGTGTCCCCGCCTCCGCCATGGACGAGGCTGGGAGAAGCACACCAGTTGCTCCCTTGGAGTCCTTGGCATGGGCGAAGTTGCTGGAGTCCCCAGGCGGGGAGAGCGCCCCGCTGGCTGCACGCTCACTTCACAGAGAACCACGCGCGCGTGTCCCTGGGGCTTGTGTGAGAGCCCCGGACCGCATGTTTCCAGCACCTGGGATGTTGAGGTTGATTGATGTTCTTGTCATTATTAATGCTGACATTTGGAATTGTTAAGTTTCAGAGACAAGGAAAAGATCTGGAGAAAGTTAAGCAGCGATTAATAGAGATCGCTAACCACGTTGACAAGGTAAGCTCTTTTTGGAGCAATGAAATCACTCAGAGTGTTTGGAGGTGAGGTCGGGAGGACGAGGCACACCTCACTGACAGCAGGGAGACCTCTGGGTGCTGGATTGGAACTCGGGGCTGGCTGTCCTCTGAGCTTGTGATTCCCTGGTCCAGGGCAGCTTCTGGACTGCAGTGGCCTGGGGGACACAGCTTGCTCCCGGCTCCCTTCTGAACAGAGTTCCGGTCTGAGGGGACGTTGGACTCCGCAGTTAGATCCCAGAGCCCCCGCAGGGTGCATCCAGCGTGCCAGGGGAGCTCTCAGCGGCATTGGTGCCCGTGTGCCTCGGCGGTGGGTGGAGTCGGTCGTCAGCTTGTTCAGAGCTCCCTTGTAATTCTCAGGGGCAGCGTGGCTGGCCACCACTGTCCCAGAGCCACCACAGCTTTGCAGCGGCACTGGGCCTCCTGCCTGGGGAGGGAAAAGGGGCAGGGGAGCAGCGTAAGAAGAATGAAGGACCAGGTCCTTGCTGGGCCTTTCACAGCAGGGACCTCTGAAGCGGCCACGTTGTGCACAGCGTGTTTGCGAGGGAGCTGTGCCGGAGCCGTGTTTCTGGCAATCCTGTCGTAGTCCAGCAGAGTTTTCTATGTATACAGAAAAATGGAGGCAAATTCACCTCCGGTTCCATGGGCCTTCTGCACCGTCCCAGCAGTGCGCGTCCAGAATTCAGGATGAAGCCGTTGTGGTCCCTCCCTTCCGAGGGGAGCAGGAACTAGATCAGTGCTCTGAGCAGGGGGCTGTGGGGAAGCAGGGGAGGACCCTTACTCCGTCCGGGGATCAGGGAGGCTTTGCAGGGAGGGAGCCCCGGGAGGTGAGTGCAGTCTCACCAGCAGAGAGCAGGAGAGGCCTTGGCTCGCTCCCCACAAATCCGGATGTGGCCAGTAGCTTCTTATGACAGAAGGGAGTGTGTGTGTGTGTCCACCTGCATACATGTATGTTCCTATATATGGACATAAAATTCATGACTGCATGTGTATTTGTATGCTACACATGCTTGTGTTCACATGTGAATACATGCACACGTATGTATGTGCACTGCGTGTGTTCACACATGCTCATGTTTATGGTTGAATGCATGGACGTGTGTCCAATGCATTGTGTCCTTGTGCACATACACGTGTTCATGTATGCATGCACACCTGTGCTGCGTGTGCGTGTGTGCACATGTGCTCATATCCTCGCATGAACGCATGCACACGTGTCTGTGTGTCCTGCATGTGCAGCCAGTGCATGTGGCGCAGTCAGTGCATGTGTGTCCCCGTGCACGTGTGTACATGCTCATGTTTGAGGGTGAGTACACGCACATGCAGGGAGGGCAGGAAGAGATGAGGCTGCCCCGGGCCCCCGTGCCCTCCAGAGGCATCTTGGCTCTGCTGAGCAGTCGCTGGAGAGCCAGGGGACTGTCTTCTGAGCAGGGCAGGGACGCTCAGGACTCCTCAGAGACATCCCTGCAGCTCGCGCGGACGATGGAGCAACCAAAGAAAGGGGGCTGCTAGGAGCCTGCTGCAGAGAAATGAGAAAGCTGGACCCAGGGCAGTGGGAGCGGGGATGCGGCAAAGATGAGAATTTAGAGGCATTTAAAGGGACGGGGCTACTGGGAAGTGTTTTTAGCAGGTACCGTAAGCTCGGCTGTGAGAGCTCGCGCAGGTGGGGTTTTTCCCGTATATAGCAGAAGGAGCTGCGCTTGCGAGGTCAGACCCAGAAATGAGCCTTCTAACCCCACTGGGGCCCTTGTCCCGGATCTGCTCACCTTCCGTGAGTCCAGGACCCTGTGCCAGACAGAAGCAGAGGATGAGAGACAGTGAAAGTCCCAACGGCCGTGAGGTTCATGCTGCAGGGTGGCTGGAAGATGCTGCCTGCCACCCCGAAGGAACTGGAGTAGGAGGGGTTTCACCAGGCACTCTGAGCAGGTGTAGATCAGGGCTTGGCACTCAGGGAGAGGCTCCGGCTGCCTGGAACTCCGTGAAAGTCGGATGAACACAGATGGCCCCCGGTACCCTGGACGCCGTTCCCCAGGCACGCCTTGCTTGCTGAAGCATTAAGCTGTGTCCCCAAGTCAAGTGGACACAGAAGACTGCGGGCACAGGGCCAGTTCTCCTGGAACAGGCAGGTGAAGGGCGGGTCGGGGCGGATCAAGGGTGATGGCGGAGTGAGAGGTGCATCTCTGTCCAGGCATCAGAATCCCCTGGGGTCTTTGCTTGTTTGTTTGCTTAAATCAGGGATGGGAAACATCTGGCCCATGGTCCATACACGGCCTGTGAAATCATCTGGCATGGCCCAGCAGGCGAGACCTGAAATTCAATAAATCTACAGCAGGCTAATTTTTACGTTGATAATTTTGTATGGTCCACAGATGATGTTATAAATATCCAAACGACCCTTGGCAGAAAAAATGGTTCCCCACCCCTGATTTAAATGATGATTTTTAAAAACCAATTCTCAAGTCTCTGCCCAGGGATTCTTTTTTTTTAAAGGTATTATTTATTCATTTGAAGGGGAGAGTGAGAGAAAGAAAGATACCTTCCGTCCACTGGTTCTTTCCACAAATGGGGCTGCTCCAGACCAAAGGCCGGAGCCTGGAGCTCCATCTGGGCTCCCATGTGACTGGCAGAGGCCCGTGCACTTGGCCACTGCCTGCTGCTCTCCCAGGCACAGGATCTGGATTGGAAGCAGATGCCCGGCTGCGGGCGACAGCTTAGCTCACTGTGCCTCGATGCCAACCCAGCCCAGGGATTCTGATTTGATTGGCCTGGGTGGGGCCTGGGCACAGGAGATTCCAGGGCCGCCTTATGATTCCAGTGTCAGGCGGGACTGAGACACCCTGACTACCAGAGACACGGGCAGATTTGGGTGCTAGAGCCTTGGCTGCCCGGTGGGCCGGGGGGTCAGTTGCCCGGCAGGTCTCTGCCTGTCCTCCAATGGCACAGAAGTAGAGAATGCAAGTTCATCTCAGGTCCCAGAAATAAAAGGGACAATGAACCATATTAAACTCAGACTGGAAATGGCTGGAACACCATTTTTTAAAAAGATTTATTTATTTTATTTGAAAGGGAGAGAGAGAGAGAGAGAGAGAGATCGATCTTCCATCTGCTGGTTCATTCCCCAAATGGCCGCAATGGTTAGGGCTGGGCCAGGTTAAAGCCAGGAGCCAGGAGCTTCATCCATGTCTCCCTCGTGGGTGCAGGGGCCCAGGGACTTGGGCCATCTTCTGCTGCTTTCCCAAGCCATAGCAGGGAGCTGGATTGGAACTGGAGCAGCCGGGACTCGAACCAGTGCCCACTGTGGGATGCAGGCACTGCAGGAAGAGACTTAACCCGCTACGTCACAGCGCCAGCCCCTGAAACATCATTTGTTTAAGTGCTGCTATTGTCTCTCTGCGATTGTTTATTTACGTGTTATTCTGGGTCATCCCTTGCTTCAGTTTGCAAAACCAAAAACGAGCAACTGGGGGCTTATTAATAACTTGCACTGGTAATTAAAGAATGCCGTGTAGAGACAAATGCTGGTGGGCTCCGTGACGTTTCCAGAGTGGCTGTTCTCATGTTTCTGACACATCCAGCCCGGACGACCCTGTCAGCCCCCAGCAGACCCCCAAGACCCTGGGGGGCTGCCCAGGCCCTTAGGAGTCCCTGCTGCCACGTCTGGTGACCGGTGACCCTTGGCTCTCTTAAGTGTTCCAAATGGCAGTTTTGCAATTCTACCCGTGGGAGTGTCTCAGGCCAGAAAACAGTGACTGTCCTGGTGGCCACGTCCTCATTTGCTGACATCTTGGCTCTCCTGGGCCATTCTGAATTAATAAGCGCTTGGCTGTGCTGACTCGAAGAGGAAGAACCTCCCTGGGTAGAAGACAGAGAAGTGATTAGTGACAAAGGGGACACTCTGAAATGATCAGGAAAGCCCCCGCCTCCCCCACAAGCAGAACCAGGAACGTGTGTCTGACACTCGGCCAAATTCAGAGACGCTTTCCCAAGTCCTGGTTCGATTCCCCCAGGAGCCGCAGAGCATTGCCCGTGAAGGCGGAGGTTCCAAGAGCTCCATCTCTAAGCTTTCGCTCCAGTCCATCCTGGCTCATTAAACGCCTAGCCCTGGGTCAGCTTTGGCCCCGTCAGCTAAGATGCCCTCGTCCCCAGCCGTGTGCCTGGTTTTGCAGCCTGGCTGCAGCTCCCGACTTCGGCTTCCTGTTCACGCAGACACTGGGAAGCAGCAGCCGTGGCTACAGGGGTTGGGTCACCGCCACCCACGGAGGAGACTTGGATTGTGCTGTCAGCTCCTGGCGTCCGCCCGGGCCAGCCCTGGCTGCTGCAGGCATTTGGGATGGACGCTGTCCACTGGTAGATGGGCGCTGTCTCCCCTCTGTGTCTCAATCTGTATCTCTGCCTCTCAGATAAATAGTTAACTAAATAATAAAAAGAACCCAGCACCAGCTATCAATTCTTGCAAGTTGAACCCCGCTGACATCCTTCTAAAAGCACTCATCTCCTGGGCACTAATTTCCCTGGGTGTGTCCACCCCTGTGTCCATCTCCTGTCCTCCCCTGGGTGTGCCCGTCCCCACGTCCGTCTCCTGTCTTCCCCTGGGTGTGCCCCTCCCCATGTCCGTCTCCTGTCTTCCCCTGGTTGTGTCCACCCCTGTGTCCATCTCCTGTCCTCCCCCCCGGGTGTGTCCCTCCCCGTGTCCATCTCCTGTCCTCCCCTGGGTGTGTCCCTCCCCGTGTCCATCTCCTATCCTCCCCTGGGTATGTCCCTCCCTGTGTCCGTCTCCTGTCCTCCCCTGGGTGTGTCCACCCCCGTGTCCATCTCCTGTCCTCCCCTGGGTGTGTCCCTCCCCGTGTCCATCTCCTGTCCTCCCCTGGGTGTGTCCCTCCCCGTGTCCATCTCCTGTCCTCCCCTGGGTGTGTCCCTCCCCGTGTCCATCTCCTGTCCTCCCCTGGGTGTGTCCACCCCCGTGTCCATCTCCTGTCCTCCCCTGGGTGTGTCCCTCCCCGTGTCCATCTCCCGTCCTCCCCTGGGTGTGTCCACCCCCATGTCCATCTCCCGTCCTCCCCTGGGTGTGTCCGCCCCCACATCCATCTCCCGTCCTCCCCTGGGTGTGTCCCTCCCCGTGTCCATCTCCTGTCCTCCCCTGGGTGTTTCCGCCCCCGTGTCCACCTCCCGTCCTCCCCTGGGTGTGTCCGCCCCCACATCCATCTCCTGTCCTCCCCTGGGTGTGTCCTGAAGGAGGCACTTCCCTCCGGACTCCAGGGGATTCCACCCCTCATTTCAGATCCACATCTTCCAGAAAGTCTTCCTGAATCCCTCCAGGGCAGTATTTCCTGTTTGAGCCATTGCTTGGGTCGGAATTCCCTGGAGTAATGCGGAGGTATCCTGGTCACCTGCAGGGCAAGAGCAAGGACAAAGGTCCCCAGTCTTTGATCCCCTGCTGGTGCCAAGCCCAGTCCCCGGCAGGAGCTGGGAAAATACGGGCTGCTTACGGAAATAGGGGGATTCATTCGGCTGGGCCTGCAGCTGTGTCCACGTCCAGGCCGGGACTCCTAAGCCAGGAAGGCAGCTGCCACGCTCTCTGGGTCCTTCACAGGACCGGGTACTTCTCTCCAGGACTGAGGTCACAGTTGGCCCTTGTGGGAGGGGCTCAGCTCTGGCCCGGGAGTGGTACCATCACTAGATCAGCGTGCCTGTGCCCAGACGCAGCCATGCTGCTGTGGCCTGGAGAACATAACCAGGCTCTCCAAGCCTCAAGGAGACTAGGAATAGTTCTGAACTCAGAGTTGTTTGGAGGGCTGAGCAACGGCATAGGAGCCCCTTAGCACCATGCCCAGGACACAGCGGTGTTATTAGGACAAACCAAAAGGGACTGGTCGGTCGCCAGGGCATGCAGAGCAGGCAGTGGAGGGGTGGTGGCTGATGACTGGAGATAAGCTCAGCACATGTCACAGTTGGCGGTGGCACTCCTTTTGGAGAGGGGACATTGTGTGTTACACTCTAGGTGTGAAGCCTGTTGTGAGGATGTGGTTAGAGAGCCCGGCATTACTATGAAAAGCTGGGAGATAAGTGAGCAGGCAGGCTGGTCCCTGCTTCCAAACGGTGCTCCTGGCTGGCCAACCTCGTGTCCCTTCACGGTGACAGCCCTGAAGCCCGGCAGGGGATCTGACCCTGAGGCCGCCTCTCAGCAGGCTGGTGCTGACATGGGCAGAGGGGCCCTGATTGTCACCCCTGTCACCTCTGTACACGATGCAGCTGACAACGTCACCTCCCCAAGGCTGCAGCCAATCACGCGCGTGGAGAGGCCCAGAGCAGTCCAGGGACTTAATGTGGCTGCGAACTTGCAAGCAGGAAGCACGGGGCAAGCAGCTCTGGATCAGAAGCAGACAGTGGAGCGGCATTTTGGTCATGGAATGTTCCGAGTAACTCAGCAAGGTCACGGCTGTAATTGTCTGATACCAAGTCCGACCGTGCCGCGAGGTAGTTTGCAGTCATCAGCTCTTTTGCCAGCCCACTGCTCGCCAGGTGACTGTGGGGCCAGCAAGGGGAAGACGAACCCGCCTGCCGTGGGTTGGAATCCTAGCTCAGACGTTCGCGTCTAGGGAACGTCACGCGCTTTGGCTCACCACGTCGGAATGGTGCTGCACTCTCAAAGGAAGAGTTTTTGTTACTCAACGGCCAGATGCTTCCAGCAACCAAGAGTAGGCCTGCTCACGTCTGGCGCTTGGTCTTGGCTGCTCACCGGCTGCAGTTCTCACCTTGGCGTCTGGGTTCTCGTAGAGGGAGACTGCACCGCATGCTGCCTCGCCCGTCGCGGGCACTGCAGCATCTTACAGCCAGATGTCCCCAGGTCCTCGGCTCCTCCACTGCGAGCAGCCAGTCACCTTCCTGACTACGGGTGCTTGTGGGGACAGCGGCACGGAGACCGCTCATCCTGCTCAGGCTCCTGGGAGTCAGAACTGTCCCCTGGGCAGAATAGGCTGTAGGTGGGAGCCAGGGACACATAAGGGGGAGGGACAGAAGGGGAATGAGATGACGTGCGTGGGGTGGGTGTGCCTGCGGCATCACCTCACGCCCCCATGCAGGAGCTGGGTTGAAGAGGTCTCCCCAGCACAGGCCCAGTGCGCTGACTGCTGGGGGGGGTAAGAGCGTCGCCATGACAGTTGCTGAAGGAGGCAATATCATTGTTCTTTATTGTTCTCCCAGCTAGACACCTGCTCAGTTAATTAAAACCTTCCAGGGTGATTGTAGGTGACAGAATCTCAGAGTGGCAGCCAAGGCTGAGCCTTTGCTCAAAAATTAATACGGATTCGTTTTCAGTAACTCATGGGCAGAGCGTTTTGCCTCAAATGAACCAATTATTGTCCTTGGCAGCAGCGTCTGACAGATCCTAATTCACTCATTGTTTGTCCTGCGGTGGATATTAGCCGCAGCCTTTAGCTGTAACAGACGTTGATATGCACGTTTTAAATCACCGATAAATCAGTTGAAATGTGTGCTGTCATCCCAATCCAGGCAGACAATAAAAAGGCTAATAGTGTTAGCATCGGATGGGTCACCAGTGGAGAAGCCGGTTAGCACAGCCCTGTGCCTCAGCACTGCAAATATTAAATTCTACGGCCGCAGGAACCAAGGGGCACGGAGTCGACTTTCTGACCCAGACACCGGAACTCTGTTCTGGTTTTCGTTTCAAGTCCTGGTCAGCGCGCCTCCCTGAGGCCGTCTCTCTCCCTCAGTTTTACAGGCCGCTGAACATCCGAGTCGTGCTGGTGGGCGTGGAGGTGTGGAATGACATTGACAAATGCTCCATAAGCCAGGACCCGTTCACCAGCCTGCACGAGTTCCTGGACTGGAGGAAGATGAAGCTTTTGCCTCGCAAATCCCACGACAACGCGCAGCTCATCAGGTGGGCGTCCCGCCCCTGCCCATGCCTGAAGGACTGGTGTCAGCCCCGCCCCTCCCCGTTCAGCTCCACCTGCACAGCCCCCCCCCTCAACCTGTGCCCCCTGCTGCCGAGCACCCGGCTGTCCAAGGGGCCTTCTCAGTCCATCAGTGAGGCAGACACCCTCCTACAAGGGCAGATCTGTCAGGAAACCCACACCTCTAAGAAGTCCCGCCTCCTTCCCTCACCTGGGCTCTCCCGGTCTGCCAAGTCTTCTGGTGTTCATCTTCATATAAAGTCGTCCTGAGTAGGCTGTTTTCTAAAGGCTCATTTCCTTTCATTAATGAAAAACACTGTTCACACAATGTACAAAGACAGACATGTGGCTGAATAGCGTCAGATGCTTGGAGAAGAGAGCTCTCCGCCTCTGCCTATTCCAGGTGCTACTCTTCAGTGTTCTAGATCAGACCGTGCCCTTAGAGCAATGTGTTAACTTTGTGTTCCTTCTTCAAGTCAGTGTGTGTTGCGCACCTGTTAGGAACCAACATTGTAAACCTCCTTGCTCTCAGGAGACCCCGGTCTGCTGGGAGAAGATAGCAAGAAAAGCGAAAATTTCACAGAATCGTCAGTGTCATGAACAATAGGAAGAAGGGAAGCATAGCTCAAACATAACAGTACGTTGGTAAGACGGCACAGATACCGTTCTGTTTAAAAGAAAACATTGGCACAGCCGTTAAGATGCTGCTTGGGTCAGTGCCGTTTCGCATCAGAACGCCTGTTTGAGTTCTGCGTCCTCTTCCCGTGCGGCTTCCTGCTAATACACGCACTGAGGAGGAAGCTGATGGTGGCTCGAGTATTTGGGAACCTGTCAGCCGTGCGGGAGACCTCGATTCAATTCTGGGCTTTGGGGTTCAACCTGGTCCAACCCTGGCTGTTGCAGGAATTTGAGGAATAAACCCAGCAGCTGGAAGAGTTCTTTCTCTCTCTCTCCCTTTTAAATAAAATGGGGGAAAAGTTATGGAAGCTCTAATTAAAAGATAAGCCTATTAAAAAGAGACCGTCTTATAATAATCTAAATTGGTGTGAAATAGATATTTACAGAAGTGACATCTTTATGTAAATCATTAGACCGCTGATGCCATTTTTCTTTTGTTTGCGTGTGGCTTCTTCTGCTGAAATGCAAGCCTTGGAGACAGAGCTGCTTCTCTCGGGCAGACCAGACCTGCCCTGTGGAACGTCCGTGGGAGTGGAAGCCAGTTCTGCTGGTGGCTTCGTTGGTTATGCCTTGATCAGTCCTGAGCTACTTGACGTGGATTCATGGATTTTGAGCCATAGTGTTTTGTTTTCTTTTTTTTTTTTTCCCCAAATGGAGTTTATCCAACCTGAACATCTGGAAGTACATTAGCGTCTTACGTGCGTGTGTGATATATCAGTTCCTCTGGCCTCTGCACTGCAGGGAGAGAGGCTGGCATCCTGCTGTGGAGGCGAGGATGCACTTGACCCTGGTGTAAAGGGTCCTCCATCCATAGTTTCAACCAAGCTTGGTCTGAAAATACTCAGAAGAAAAAATGTGCGGATACTAAACATGTACAGGTGTTTTTTTTTTTTTTTAAATAAAGATCTATTTATTTTCTTTGAAAGGGAGCGTGACAGAGAGAGAGATAGGGAGAGAGAAAGATCTTCCATCCTCTACCCCAAAGCCCAATACAGCAAGGGCAAGGCCAACCCAAAGCCAGGAACCAGAAACTCCATCCAGGTCGCCCACATGTTTGCGGGAAGCTGAACCAGAGAGCACAGCAGCCAGGTCTCCTACCGGTCACTTCGATATGGGGTGCAGCTGTCCCAAGCATCAGGTTAGCCCCCTGTGCCACAGTGCTCGTTCCTACAGACATTTTTCTTCTCATTATTCCCTAAGCAATATAGTACAATAGCTTTTTAGATAGCATATCCATTGTGTTAGGTGTTATAACCCAGAGATGACTTAAAGCGCATGGGAGGATATGCATAGGTTCTGTGCAGGTGCAATGCCATCTTATACAAGGGACTTGGCCACCCACAGATTTTGGTATTTGGATGGGCTCCTAGAGCCAATCTTTCATGGCTACCAAGGGATGATTATAATAGAATAGATGGATGGACAGGCGGATGGATGGATGGATGGGTGGATGTGAAGGAGGGGAGGGAGGGAGAGAGGAAGGGGCTTTTATATACTTACTAACTCTGTTCAATTGGCCATGACTAATATCCAGCTTTTCAAAAGAAATAAGCATTATGTGTTCATTGCATGGTCAAGATAGGATGAATAGGTCACTTTAGTCCCTTAAAGGGAGTTCAACAGATACAATGTTACTTTTTTTTTTTTTTTTTTTGACAGGCAGAGTTAGACAGTGAGACAGAGAGAAAGGTCTTCCTTTTTCTGTTGGTTCACCCCCCAAGTGGCCGCCACCATGGCCGGTGCGTAGCAGCCAGCACACTGCGCCAATCCAAAGGCAGGAGCCAGGTGCTTCCTCCTGGTCTCCCATGGGGTGCAGGGCCCAAGCACTTGGGCCATCCTCCACTGCACTCCTGGGCCACAGCAGAGAGCTGGACTGGAAGAGGGGCAACTGGGACTAGAAAGGGGGGGGGGGGGGCGTCGGCACCACAGGCAGAGGATTAGCCTAGTGAGCCGTGGCGCTGGCCACAGTGTTGCATTTTGAGTGCATGAGTTGGAATTAAGAGACTTGCACCAAACAGGCCTCTGGAGTGTTTTAATGGGTGCCCAGGTTATGATCCCAGGTGGGAGGCCTGCACCACAGCCACAGGGCCCCTTCTGGAAGCTTCTCCGTGGGTGCTGAGGCATTGTGGGTGTTTACTGATTCTACACTGGCTCCAGGGATCAATCCTTTTTCTGCTGATTTCAATTTTGCAAGCTGTATTAGCCGGACGTTTGCTAAGAGTTTAGGTTTCTGGCAGAACTGTAATGGGTCACACAGGCAAGCAAAACTCAGCTACGACAGAAAACCTGGGAAACCATCGAATGCCCCCCTTTATTACAGAGTCTGATAGCGTTCAGCCATCAGCAGGTGCCCTCGCTCTGTGAGGAAGCAGGCAGGACGCAGCTGGCGAATACAACCCCGTGGTGATGGCCGCCTGCACAGCCAAGCTCCACAAGGACGTGGGCCTGTGATACGACGGGAGAAGTACAATTTAAGGAGAAAAGATGAAAATCACATGCACACGTACTCTCATACCGCCGTTTCCATTTTTACATATCCTACAGAATTGCAGACACTAGAAAATGCCTGCATTCTACATTAGATTAAAGAAAGCCCTTTCTTTTGTTTCCTAGTGGGGTTTATTTCCAAGGGACCACCATCGGCATGGCACCCATCATGAGCATGTGCACCGCGGAGCAGTCTGGAGGAGTGGTCATGGTAAGCCAAGGGCGCCGGGGAGCTTGTGCCCCTCACTAATGATTCCCCAGGAAGCCACTACTCTGATCAGACTTTGTGAAGTTAGTTCCTCTTGTGTTCTTTTTTTTTCTCAAAATTTTTATAGGGGTGGGAGCAGTACCAAGAAAGGGGGGCGTGGAGCATGCTCCTATCCAGTGTGGCACTCGCCAGCTACCCGCAGTGGTCGGAACTAGGCTAGAGAAGAAGCCAAGAAGTGGAAACTAGTGCAGGTCTCCCACGTGGGTGGCAGGAACATGGCCACTTGAGCTATCTCCCAGGGTGCACATTAGCAAGGTGCTGGGGTCAAGAGCTGGAGCCAGGAATCTAACTCAGTTACTCTGTCTGATGTGGGCCAAATGCCTGCTCCCCCTTAGCTCATTTTAGATTTCACTCTGCTCTTGCACTAGCTATGTTTATGACCCTATATATCCCTCGATATTTTTAGGACTGTGACTAAAACCCAGACTGCACACAGGAAAGGTGGGTGTGAACCAGCAGCTCAGTGAGGCACGTGTGCAGCTCCTATGGGAACCGCTGTGCACTGGGCCCCGGGGCCATCGCCTCCTAACCCAGCAATGCCCCAGCGTGGGGTGAGCCAGGGTACTGGGGTCCTACCTTTGCTCAGCTTCTGGAACCGGCTGTGGTGTCACCAACTGCGGCCGCTCGCATGGTTTTCTGCCTGCAGGCCCAGCAGCCACAAGTCTGAGGTTTTTAACTATTTGCCACTGCAGATGCTTTACATACCTTCTGCCTGTGCACAGCCTGCTTTATAATAACCTTTCGCTGGGAAGGCAGGGTCCTCGGCTCCTGCTTTGCAGGGATGATATTGTCCTACACGGGCTGTGTATGCTTGCAGAAGGAAATGAGATGGAAGACGATTTGGCCTTCGGGTAGACTTAAGAGCTTTGAGGGCCTGTCCAATGGGGTCTTGTGCTGTTCCCCACCACGTCTTTCAGGGAGGGGCTCTCACCTCTGCTGTCCCTGTACCCCAGCCCTCAGGCACGGAGTCTCGTTGAGAACCATCGCTCCATCTCCGTTAAAGGAACGGAACATTGTCCTTCCAAGAAACTCTTCAAATGGAAGGTTGATTAATGTCCAGTCGTATTAAAAGATACAAGGACTTGGGCTCTGCCTATCCGATCTTCTTGAGAATGCACACACACGCACGCGTGCACACACACACACACACACACACATTCCTCTTCTCTGGGTGCGCAGGCTGGGATTTGACAGAGGCAAACCCTGGCCATAAGGCTGCCTGCCTGGAAGGACTGACCCTCCTTCCCCACTGGATTTCCGGCTTGAACCGGTTACTCTCTGATTTCTTTGAGCCGGGAAGCCCAGAATGTGGTCTCTACCATGGAAGTCTTTGGAGAGTCTGGTTCAGTGGCCGCCAGCTTAATTTCAAGGCAGATCCCAACCGTATTTTCATGGGGCAGCCTACAGAGTTGTAGGTGGGAATTAGTTTTCTGTATCATGGTTCCATGATCAGTTGCTATCAACTTTGCCGATTAAAATTGGCATCAGTCAATCTTCGAGCTGAGGATGGAGACGTCGTAGGCATGGCAGGTTTGGCCACTGTGCAGTGCTGTTTAGCATCTTCCTGCAAGCCGTCTGGTGTGGTGAGTGTCTTCCCTGGGCTTGCCTCCCTTCCTCTGTTTCCATGTAAGCATTTTGTCAACATTCCTTCTTTCTCTCAGAACTATGAAGGGTCATCAAAAATTTCACAGAAAATGCATTGATTAGGAAAAAAAAGCATGGATTTCCAATTTTTGTACCAAAATAAACTTATCTTTTAATTCCATTTTTCTATGAACCCTCATATTTGAAAATAAATGTGAAAGATATAAGCCAAGTGTGTGTGATGCAAAAAGAATCAGGCCAAGACCAAATTATCAGGAAATATGCTTTGACCCGTTTTTCAGTAGCTGGTGTCACCCTCAGACACACTGCTTGTGTAGCCACAGAGAGGAGGACCATGGGGCCGGCGTTGTGGTGCAGCAGGTTAGGCCTCCCCGTGCACCACCAGCATCCCATATTGGAGTATCGGTTCACGCCCTGGCTGCTCCAGTTCCAGTCCAGCTCACTGCTATGGCCTGGAAAAGCAAATGATGATGGGCCAAGTTTTTGGGCCCCTGCCACCCACATGGGAGACCCAGATGGAGTTCCAGGCTCTTGGTTTTGACCTTGTCCAGCCCTGACCATTGAGACCATTTGGGGAGTGAATCAGCAGATGGAATATCTCTCTCTCTCTCTCTCTTTCACTCACTCTGCCTTTCAAATAAATAAATAAATCTTGTAAGAGAGAACAGAGAAGCACCCAGTGGGATGAAAACACCACAGCGTCTCTAATTCCTCTGAAATTCTCCAGGTGGGCATCCTGACCAGATCCCGCCCAGCATTCTCCTGCGGGTCTCTGCCGTTAGACTCCTGCGGGCACGCCTCCCTCCGGCGCTCGCCGGCTGGGAGGAAGGAAGTTAGAATCTTCATAAAGTTAGACAGATGCTTCTTAGTACCTTCCCTCTATTTTTCAGTATGGGGTAAGTTGTTGAGTAATTTAGAGCCATGGCTCGGTATCTAGCCGGCCTACCACAGTCTTGGTTGGGGGAGAAACAGAGAGACTGTTTTTTCCCTCATTACAAGTGTAAGCTGTTTTATCAGAGTCTCCTAAGAGACATTCTGTTCATAATCACTTATGCATGAAAGAATGTAGAACAACTTGGCAGTTAGAAACAAAACTGAGACTTTCAGTGACACAGAGAAACGGAAGTGGAGTATTTTTCAGGGTGAATTCCTTGCATTTTGTTGCATTCCCAGGCTGCATTCCCAGGCTGACTGCAGTCTCTCCTGAAAGGTATTCCTGAAGCTTCCTACAACAGGAAACAGCATCCAAACCAAGTGACCACCGATTAGGAAATTCAGCTAGTCTGGGAATAACTGGCTTCCCGGACCTGCCTTAGACTCAGGGCTGCAGGCACAGACGCCACCCGCAGACCTGGAAAGTCACCTGAGCGGTCTCTCTGCAGGGGCCTCGGGACAGCTGTCTCTATCAGAAGCGATGTTTTCTCCAAGAGGCAATGTTGTGCTGCTTGCCTGGAGCCTCGTGGAAACAACTTGTCTCCCTCTTGGGTGGCACAGATCAGGGTCCAAGGAGGTGCAGCCCTCACTCCGTGCGGTGTAGACCTTGTCAGAAGCACCATTCATGGGCACAGTTTCTGGAAATCATGTTCACTAATAAATTAGTTGTTACAGTTAAATAAATATATCTTTTTTTACAATTTGTTTATTTATTCAAAAGGTAGAGTGACAGAGAAGTGTGGTGGGGGTAGAGAGAGACAGAGAGAGAGAAAGAGAGAGAGACAGAGGGAGAGAGAGATCTTCCATCTGCTGGTTCACTCCCCAGAATGTTGCAACAGCCAGGGATGGGCCAACCTTAAACCAGAAACCTGGAATTCCAGCCAGTGCTTCCACAGGGGTGGCAGGGGCCCAAGCACTTGGGGCATCTTCCCCTGCTTGTCCAGGCCATTAGCAGGGAGCTGGATCTGAAGTGGAGCAGCCGGGAATTGAACCGGTGCTCATAGGGGATGCCTGCAGGCTGTGGCTTAACCCGCTATGCCACAATGCAGCCCCATAAATGTATCTTCAGTTAACTTCCAGTGTCTATTTGAGCCCAGCCATCCAAGCGCCACACTAAGTGAGCAGAGGCCAAGCAGTGCCCATCCTAACCACAGGACGGCCAGCAAGGGTGCGACCTAACTGGATCGCAGCTCTGGTCTTCAGACTCCTCCATGCGGGCAGCGTTCAGTGTGAGTCACCATGACTGTCCAGAGGCCTGCTCGCTGACAGGTGCTCTGATGGATGTAGGAGGCCACCGAGCACGCTTCCATGGTCAGCTCTGCATCTTCTCACTCAAGGACAAGGTGGCACATCCGTTACTCACGACAGAGTGGCCCCACTTCCTGTTTTGCAGGGCAGCCCCACCCGGGACTGGGTTTGGTGGGGAAGTGAGGCCACATGGTAGATGGCAGTGGCCGCCATGGTTGTGCACCTGTAGAATCCTGCTGCATACTTGCACCATCAGGGACCGCCCACTGAAATGTGCCAAGTTCTACCTCTGCGTTTAATTTGAATACTGGGCTCCACACCCACCCCTTAGAGGGACCTGGACTAAGTCAAATGGTGTTAATGAAGGGGCAGTGACCGGACAGGTCTGGGAGAGCAAGACGGCGAGGAGATGTGAGCTTTATGTCTGTCTCTTGTGTTTCCTTCGAGGACCATTCAGACAGCCCGGTTGGTGCGGCCGTGACCCTGGCACACGAGCTGGGCCACAACTTCGGGATGAACCACGACACGCTGGAGCGGGGCTGCAGCTGCAGGACGGCAGCTGACAAAGGCGGCTGCATCATGAACCCGTCAACCGGGCAAGTACCACCGCTCCCAGCCACCGCAGGGCTGCGGGCAGCCGCGCCACGCCCTGGGAAACAGCCGCACAATGCGTCCCCCTGGCTCTCCGGCCAGAGCATACACGGGACGCTTCCAGAAAGAGAGTGTTCCTCACGCAGCACACGTGGACCGTGCCACTCCAGGAGTCACGGGCAGCTGGGGCGTAAAGCCACACAGGCAGCGTGAGGACTGACCTCTTCCTGGAGCGGAGGTGGGGGAGAGGGGATGGGTGCTGTTTTGGTTCAGGACTGGCAAATCCCCCCACCGTCCCGGCACTTGCTGATTTGTGCCTGCAGCTCTGGTTCTCCAGGCGCTGCCAGCTAAGGGCCTGGCAACCCCTCTGGGCAGGGGTCCTGTGTGCACAGAGGGCGCGGGGTTGGAGGGGCTTCTCCCCTCAGGTGGGCCCGGGGGCGTGGCTGAGGTGTTCTGTGGCTCAGGGTCGGTCCTGTCCCTGTGTCTAACACCATGTCACCTCATCAGCTCGGAGAGGTTTCCTGAACTGATTTTGCAGTAGGTGGGTATTGAGCCACCTTGCTTGATGCCTATTGGAGCCCTAGACTGGGTTCAGCCAGGAAAGAGGACAGCTCCATCGCTGGAGCGCTCAGATGAGATGGGAACAGACGCACCTTGAGCTGGGCAGGTTCGCATGTGAGCTTGTGCCCCGAACGACCTATCCCAAGCTGGAATTTGGTGCCAATTTCAGAAGATTCGCGTTAGTAAGGAGAGGTGTGTACTGCGTACTGTGCCAGCTTCGAGTGCACCTCGAGACCTTGCAGACCCTTTGCCTGCCTGGGACTTTCCAGGCCAAGCCTGCTCTCCAGGTCGGCCGCAAGGACACATCAGGAGTGAGAAGCATGTGCTGACCACACAGCCCAGAGACCCGGCTCTGTGGGGGCTCGCTGGCAGGGGACAGCGTGGCAGGAGGGGGCCACCTGCTAAAGAGATTTCGGGGCCCCAGAGGAGAGAAATTGTGAAAAAATGTGGCTATAGCTTTGCAGGCAACAGCCTGGGGGCCTCCTGCCAAGTGGTTTGTAGGGCTTGAGTGGCTCCTAACACAAGGACTGAGCAGAGCCGCTCGTCAGGGCATGGCCACTTCCCAAGGACTGCTGGGAAAGCAGCGTTCTTGCCCGTTTGCTGCTGCTATAACCCGATGCCTGAGCCGGCTAATCTACAAAGGACAGAGGTTTGCTTAGCTCCTGGTTCTGTGGCGGCTGGGGGTATAAGAGCCTGTCATCTTAAGTGAGGCAGCCGCGGGGAGACCGAGCGAGCCGCGAGGGGACAGAGCGAGCCGCGGGGAGACAGAGCGAGCCGCGGGGGGACAGAGCGAGCCGCGGGGGGACCGAGCGAGCCACGGGGGGACAGAGCGAGCCGCGGGGGGACAGAGCGAGCCGCGGGGGGACAGAGTGAGCCGCGGGGGGACCGAGCGAGCCACGGGGGGACAGAGCGAGCCGCGGGGAGACAGAGCGAGCCGCGGGGGGACCGAGCGAGCCACGGGGGGACAGAGCGAGCCGCGGGGAGACAGAGCAAGCCGCGGGGGGACAGAGTGAGCCGCGGGGAGACAGAGCGAGCCGCCAGCCCGGGCCTCTCTTCCTCTTCTAGTAGAGCCGTTGACGCCAGCGCGGGGGCCCAGCCTCAGGACCCCGTCACATCCTATCCACCTCCAAGGGGGAGTAAGTGTCCAACACAGGGACTCTGGGGCGCACATTCCAGGCAGGCCAGCAACGCGGCTTTGTGTGCGTCCCCACCTGTCGCGCCAAGCCTGCCGGGTCATCGCTCCTGCTCACCCAGGCCTGTCACCCAGGCCCCGTGGAGGAAGCGGCACCCTCAGTCTTTCTCGACAGAGACCAAAGACTTGCACCCAGGGGAAGTGGCTGAGAGCAACACCAACAGGAAGCGCTGGGTTGCCAGGCTCTGGGTGCTAACAAGCAGAGCTCGCCACGAGGGAGGCGGCCACCTGGGAGTGAATCTGCTCTTTGTCATTGAAGGTGTCTGGGTGGAGGCGGAGCAACTGTTTGACAGACACTTGGGTGAGGAGATTGGGCCAAGGGCCCATGGATGCCTTTTGGGTTCAACGTGGAACCAGCGTCACCCGGCGGCACACTGTGCACGCGTCTCAGCGCCCCCGCCTTGCGGGAAGCTGTCCTGCAGCTTGTGGCCTGCTGGTCCTTGTTCTCCATGCACTCGCAGGGTGGCCCCAGAAGGCACCCTGACTCGGTGCTTACTTTCCTGGTCATCAAAGGGGCCCAGACATGGGACCATCCATCTCCAGAAAGGGTTCCAGCAAGCAGAAAGAGAGGGAAAAGTCTAGATTGGGAGCGTTGGCCTGGGGCCGAAGGGGCCCGGTCGTCCTGGTCCTGACACCAGCTGCGCTTAGTGACACAGGCCACTCAGGAGCCCCCGGGCTCAGCATCGGTGAAATGAGGGGCAGGTGCCTCCCTCCCTGCCTTCCCACATCAAGCGAACGTTCTCGACCCCTGTGCTCGGGTGGGAGGGGTGCTGCTGTGAGGAAGACCCCACCACCCCAGCATAGGAGGCGGAGGCTCAGTAGCAAGGCCACGCCCAGGCACCGAGTGGCCTGCACTGGCCGTGCCGAGGGTCGGAAGCCAAGTTCCCTGGAGACATGTGGACACCTTGGGCGGGTAAGGAATTGTTAAGAATTCAGCAAATCACTTAGCGGCCTTTTTTATTTTTATTTTTTGGTCTTGCCAGGGGCTCGCTAATAGCCTTCACTTGATTTATAACTTATTAGCAATTTCTGAGTTTTCTTCTTTGCTAAGCTTGCGCCTCTGCGTAAATCTTCTATTTGGTTCTCGTTTATGATCCCACATTCCTGTCCAGAGAGTGGTGTTTTTAATTTTCTAGGAGGGAAGGCGACTTCCTAAGTAAGTGGAGAATTAATCATAGCAGCCCACAGCACGGGGGAGGTCGGGTGCCTGTGCACCTCCCAGCCCACAGCACACAGCTCAGGCTGCCTGTCCACCCACCCCCCAGCCCACAGCACGGGGGAGGTCGGGCTGCCTGTGCACCCCCCCAGCCCACAGCACACAGCACACAGCACGGGGAAGGTCAGGCTGCCTGTGCACCCCCCACCCCCCAGCCCACAGCACGGGGGAGGTCGGGCTGCCTGTCCACCCACACCCTAGCCCACAGCACGGGGGAGGTCAGGCTGCCTGTCCACCCCCCCCCCAGCCCACAGCACGGAGGAGGTCGGGCTGTCTGTGCACCCCCCAGCCCACAGCACAGGGGGGTCAGGCTGCCTGTGCATCTCCCAGCCCACAGCACGGGGGAGGTCAGGCTGCCTGTGCACCCCCCCAGCCCACAGACCACAGCACACAGCATGGGGGAGGTCGGGCTGCCTGTCCACCCCCACCCCCAGCCCACAGCATGGGGGAGGTCGGGCTGCCTGTCCACCCCCCCCCCCCAGCCCACAGCACGGAGGAGGTCGGGCTGCCTGTCCACCCCCCCAGCCCACAGCCCACAGCCCACAGCACGGAGAAGGTCAGGCTGCCTGTCCACACCCCCCCAGCCCACAGCATGGGGGAGGTCGGGCTGCCTGTCCACCCACCCCCCAGCCCACAGCACGGGGGAGGTCAGGCTGCCTGTCCACCCCGCCCCCCAGCCCATAGCATGGGGGAGGTCGGGCTGCCTGTCCACCCACACCCCAGCCCACAGCACGGAGGAGGTCGGGCTGCCTGTCCACCCCCCCCAGCCCATAGCATGGGGGAGGTCGGGCTGCCTGTCCACCCACCCCCCAGCCCACAGCACAGGGGGGTCAGGCTGCCTGTGCACCCCCCCCCCCATCCATCTGCTCTGGAATTCCCCAGGCTGCTCCAGTGTCATCTCCGTGTCCCGAGAGGGAATGACGTGAGATCCTGTGTCTTCGGACGTTGTGAATCACTGCACAAATGCAAGGTGCAATCGTTATTTTATTATTCAGCTCACAGGGACGTTGGAACTATCAAAAAGTTAAAGGCTTTTTGTAGAATTCCTACTGAAGAGCCGGCGCCGTGGCTCAATAGGCTAATCCTCCACCTTGCGGCGCCGGCAAACCGGGTTCTAGTCCCGGTTGGGGCGCCGGATTCTGTCCCGGTTGCCCCTCTTCCAGGCCAGCTCTCTGCTATGGCCAGGGAGTGCAGTGGAGGATGGCCCAGGTGCTTGGGCCCTGCACCCCATGGGAGACCAGGAAAAAGCACCTGGCTCCTGGCTCCTGCCAGGATCAGCGCGGTGCGCCGGCTGCAGCGGCGGCCATTGGAGGGTGAACCAGCGGCAAAGGAAGACCTTTCTCTCTCTGTCTCTCTCTCTCACTGTCCACTCTGCCTGTCAAAAAAAAAAAAAAAAAAAAAAAAAGAATTCCTACTGAAGGTTTCGGAAAGTTCTCCCAGCACCATTCACAGGCACTCAGCAACCTGCCCAGGGTCTCCGTGGGAACGAGCCCATATCCAGACTCCAGTCCTCCTCTGACTTCTAACGATACAGTCAGCCATGGTGGCAAACGTTAAAAAAACCTTCATTTACATCTTAGCCCCAAAGGTGACTGGGAAAGAGATGAATCAGTAGCCATTTTAGTGATATCAAGGACATTAATAATTGCTGTTAGTTATTCAGAACTAACAACAAATGTTCATTGATAATAGTGCTGACGTTAAAGTCTCAGAATCAAAAATAAACATCAAAGATGGTTGGAAGAGGCAATAGCGTGGCCATTAGTGAGTCCTGGTTATTCTCCATCACGTCATCCCAGACATCAGGGCTCGGAAAATGCGACCCAGAGGCCGTCACGGAGAGCTGAGCACAGAGGCCATTTAAGCTTGTGCGTCGCGATGTCAGCCGCCTGACGCGGTGTCGGTCAGAGGGAGTTCCCTGTGGGTTGTTTCATTAATTCCTGGGAGCGTGTGTGAGGTGTGTTTCATGTCTTGGGATAGCTAACATCAAGGCCTGTCCTGGAAATGACTCTGGCAAAAGCAGCAGCTGGGAGTCGTGTGGGAGTCGAGTCAGCTGTGTCCATTCATTCATGGGCTTCTTGGAGCACGTCCGTGGGCAAGGGTGGAGGGCGAGGCAGGCGCGTGTGCAGGGGAAGGGAAATGCGAATGATGGGAGCATTCTTAACAAAGAGTGGTTAGCAAACTAGCGAATGTGGCTTCCCAGAGGAGAAAGCAAAAATGAAGAATTAATATCCAAAAAGTAGTCTCACGGACTCCTCTGTTTGCAGGAAGAGGAGAGCTGGCCTCCCAGGGCCAGCCCGCCAGGCAGTGCCATGGAACCTGCAGCGCGTGTCAGCGGCACGCCAGCCCCATGTCCTGCAGGGGCCCAGCTGGGGGACCGTGAACAGGACAGGCAGGGTTCCCATGCTCGGGGAACCTGTGTTCTATGGGAAAACAGACCGGGAGAGCATTTAAGATCTCAGGTTCGAAGGCCAGCTCGGAAGGGAGGGAATGCGAAAGGGGATGGGGGAAACCTGGGGGTGGAGGTGGGGGAGAGCCTGCAGGGAGTGAGGAAGGGGCAGACTCTGGGGCTGGGGGCCTGGGGGCTCAGAGGCCTTGAGGCTGGGGGTGGGGCAGGGTGGGGGAACAGGGCCGGGCCCAGCAGAGCCCAGCCCACCCTGGCAGGAGCAGGGCACATCATCACCACACAGCCGGACTCCCTGGGGTTCTCCAGCCTCACAGCGCAGATCTGACTTCTTGCTGAAGATCTGTTCATTTTCAAGGACTGTGGGCAGCGTCTGAGCTACTGTCGTTAGCCAGAGCCGTGGTGTATGACCGCGCAGAAGCGGGGAGAGGCGCTCTGTAGACTGTAACCCCCGGGATCCGGCCCGCGCAGCGCAGACTCCCGCACTGACACTGCTGGCCGCGTGTCGGCGCCGCGCCCTCCCGCACTGGCCCCTCGCGCTCAACCTGGGTGCACGCGAGGCTTTCCCGTGTAGGATCTTCCCCCTTTCCTGCCTAAGCGTCCTTCCGGACTCTGCTTCCAGGCACCACACAGAGCCTTATCACGCGTGTAGGTCTGAAAAGAGGGGTTGCTATAGTTTCCACTCTGGTGGAGTAGGACCCCTGGGTTCCGTTCAGACCAACGGGCAAACGGCTCCGAGGCACCAATCACAGTCTCGTGTCCACCCCGAGTGGACACGACGCCTTGAGTGCCGAGGACAGCGTAGAGAGAAAGAGAGCAAGTGGGGGCTTCCCCGTCCCGAGCTCAGGCCTTCAGGGACAACGTCTACACCGAGGGCAACTGGCCGAGCTTGAGGAAGGAGCGTTGCCCTGTGCCCCCCTCCAAGCTTGTGTCACTGGCTCCCTCATCTCCGTTTCCTTCCGTTCATGCTGCACTCGGGCACACCCGCCTGC